AATTTCATGGCCCGACTTGTCTACGCTTAGAGTACTGAATCTGGGTGTTAGCGGCAAAATGAACCTGGGATTGAATTCTCTTCTACCACGTCTCTCACTGACAAAACTTGTATTCTCTGGTTGCAATTCCAGTGAGAAAAACACTCTACTAGAGAAAGATTGTCAAGCCATTGCAAGTTTTATAGAAAACAATGTTTCGCTTGAAGAATTGTGGTTCAGTGGTGAAGATGACTTGGATGTAGATAATCTTGGAATTATATTTGAAGCAATGGAAAAAAATAAATCTCTTCCTTTGCAACATTTGACACTAGAGCGCATAACTTACTTTAATAATTGTGACCTAGGGTGCCTTTCCAAATACATTGAAAGTTCTACAACGTTAAAACAACTAGATTTTCCTTATGGACTACGCTTGTGCTCCATGGGTGCCTTGGATTTAGCCAGAGCTCTCAGAGGGGAACCTGACTTATGTACAGACATCAATTTTCAGTGTGTTGTTTATGAAGACGATGATGTGCCGTTGTACGTTGAAATGGTGAGAGATTTTCCAGAAATGATGGAGTGGGATCGTGAAATAAAAGGTGATGTCATTGTTTATATTAGTGATGAAGGAGTTAAACATTTAGCTCAAGTTCTGGAGGACAGCTATGAAGTTACAGTGCTTGAACTATCCAGTTTAGGAATTGGTAATGATGCGGTAAAGGCTTTGGCTAGGGCACTCGATTCTAATTCGACCCTCAAAGAGCTTGACTTGTCAAACAATAAAATTGATTGTGATGGAGTGAATGCTCTTGCTATGGCACTTAAGGATAATATCACTTTGGAAATTCTAAAGTTAAACATAAATAAAATAGGCAATGATGGAGCAGAGGCTCTGGCAGAGGTACTGCAATCGAACTCCACTCTAAGAACCCTAAACTTATCCAACAATGCAATCAGTGATGATGGAATAGAAGCAATAGCGAGGGCACTATATCCAGAAGAACCACCCGACCATGTCAACGATGACAGAGCTAGGGCTTCGCATCGAAAAGATTCCAGTTGTAACACAGCTTTAAAGGAATTGATTCTATCTTATAACGAAGTAGGAGATAAAGGAGCAATGGCCTTATCCCAGGCATTACACCGCAACTCAACGCTCAAAGGTCTTACCCTATATGGTAACCCAGGAATAGGTGAAGAAGGTGTTCATCATCTGATTCAGGCTCTGACTGTGAATGTTTCCATTGCTGGGTATTCTTCTGGTACAGGAGGTCTTGTACTCGACAAAAAGAACCATGAAAGATATGCTGTGAATTTTCCTGACTACACTACAGTGAAGCATAGAATTGCTTTAGTGATACTTGAATATATGAATATGAAATATTTTTTCGCCAAGACTTTATGAAACCCAATCACAAACAATTGCTTGTTCAAAGCATTCATGTCTTTATACTGCCTCCATCTTTAAAAATCCAAGGATGAAAAAATATTTTGTATATACGTTAATTTTTATCCGGGGCACTTCGGCGAGAGGTATGAATGTGACGACGGGAGATGCCCTGCAGCGAATAGATAGACCATGTTATTGTAGATGTGTATTATGTGCTTGCTCATCCCCATATTGGTTTTGATGTGGGCATATCTATTATTATAGCAAACTTAGCTCATGTTGGCACTTTAATTAGAGCATCGGCAGAAACTCTATGTGGAATGCACAGGTAAAGTTTCATGTGATTAGAGTGCAAAAAGCCTAAAAGCCCTGTGAATGACTTTCTATATAGGCCTTCAAAGCACACCAGGATATATAGTCTTCCAACTACTACTGCTATACATTAGTCCAAAGACACCTTTCATCATCCATGCGATCATTCACTCGTTCACCATCTCACAACTGAAGGGCTGAGAACCAGAATGGTGTAGCTAACCCACAATGGGCCATTTATATATACCCCCTTGACATGAAGTTACAATTAAAAATGCGTTTTGGATGGAGACAATGTTTTGCGCTATATCTCACTTTTTAAGCATACCCTCCCATATTTTCCCCCATTTTGCACTCTTTCGGCAATTTCCATACTAAATTGTGAGATATAGCACTCTGGTTTTCGGCCCTTCAATTATTGTTCCATTATTCTTCAGTAATCCCTGCTCAGTTCAAGTGCTGATATTCTCCATAACCCATCCCTGTATTCATAGGGAAATTTGTATCAGACAAAGGATAGGGGATGTTATGATGTGTCGTACCTCTGTACCCTTTTTCTTCATTATAAGCAATCCCTATAGCTTTCTCCCTGTCATCATACGTTTGCTTTTTACTAGTTACCCTCCATAGCTGTGCTTACAAGTTGATGAACTGATGTAGCTATACTTAGCTACATTATGTCTTCCGAAGTTTTGTTGTCACACATGCATTTTGTTCTTGCAAGCAGCCGCAAAATCAGGCCAACAAAGTTGCCTAACAGTCAAAGATGGTCATATTATGTAGGTAATAAATTGGATCACACTATGGAGGCCCATGCCACTTAGTTTTAGGGACATACGTATTCTAGGACATTACGTATTAACGTCCTCTAGGCAACATGGTAGCCACTATAGTAGTATATAGGATGTGGAATATGCCCACAGCATGTGCAATTCTCCGCTAAGGGAACAAAGTGTGGTCACTGACTAAAACATTTCCAGTATACCCCTGTGTAGTTTCAGAGTAGCTAATTGTCCCTACTGCACTTACTGATTGCCAGGAAAAGTGCTAGCTATGTACCTCATATATATTACACTTTGCAAATGTACATGATATCAAGTGTAATACACAGCTATATAGGAAGTTGGCAAACTTCTGTCATTGGGCAATAGTCCATGTATTTCTTGGCAAAGTTACAGACCTATATTAATGTTGGTGGATGGCCCGTTTATTTCTTGATTGCATTATAATATGGGCTATTTTCCATAATTGAGCCAAGTAGCCAATTATATGTTCCTGGCACCCACCCTTGCTCCAGTATGTGCATTATTTCTATGGTGAAAACGTCAAGTAAAATGAAAGGAATCTTGAGGAATGTTTGTCTGAGGAGAATATTATAACACAGTGTGCATATCTCCCCTTTCATTTGACTGCCCCTATTTCACGTCAAGAGAAAGTAAAGAAGTGGCTAAGTGCAGTACTACTATTGGGAAGGGAAGTGAGCCTATACCTACGTAGTTGTCTCATTGTGGATTTTTCTGTGTGACAGGCAGTGTGCATAACGTAATACTAGATACATGCAAAACAACTTCGTTAGCTCGCCAAAAATACCATTCTAGTGGTATGTAGTGTCTGGCTTGAAACTTGTGCATGTGTCAACAACGAGGTATTGAGGTAGAACGGCAAGGCAAATCAACTACACCCTGGACTGTTCTTTCTTTTGGAAGAGCTGCTATGGGTGGGATTCAACGCGACACTCTGCAATCTAGGCTGAGTGCTCTACAGTGTCTGTGTTATACAATGTTGCCTGTTGGGGAAATGGTTTCTGGAATAGTTTGCCATAATAGGGATAGCCTGCAGCATTCTTCTGGGGAATGTTATAAGAAGCTGAACTATGCAGTTGGCATAATCCAGTCCTGGAATATTACAGCGATACTCTTCAGAATTTGGTCTTTTTTCTTAGAATTTGCTTTTAGTGTTGCTACAGATCACAAAGGGTTTAGCATGCATTTAGCGAAAGGTCACTCATGCATTTCGTTGCTGCAAGTAGCCGCGAAATCACGTGAACAAAGATGCCTAACAGTCTAAGATGGACATTTTGAGGTAGGTAACAAAATTGGATCAAACCATACAGGCACATATTCTATGCCATTATGTGTTAGGCAAGGTAAAGGCATGGTAGCTACAGTAATAGTATAATAATTATAGTGGTATAAGCCAACATCATGCTCAATTCTCCGTTTCAGGTCAGGGTTCTAAAAGACGGTTCAAGTCTTACTGCCTTTCACTCTTTTTCTGAACCAAATGCATGTCTCTACCATCCAGGCTAGTTTGCCCTGCTCTGTGTTATTAGACTGTAGCTAACCTTCTGGTTTCTTTCTGTCTCCGCCACCTCTAAAATTGTGTCCTTGTGACCTCAGCCGAGAGAGAGGTCACTCTACTGCCTATTGTGTAGTCTACAACACATTGGGAACAACCTTGGTCGCTGGAAGTACCTATGATACCAATACAAAGACACACATGCTGGAAGTCATTGGCCGAGTCCCTAATTATGGCTGGTGACCCTCACACCACAAGGCCACAGATCACACCACATGCTCATAGATCATTGATACAACAAAATAAAGAGACACTCCAGGCCAATGTTTAACCATCATACATTCTGGCTCCTTTAGATTATTCTAGTGGAGTTTTTCTTGTTTTAGTGGATCAGATGTCACACCACAGCAGTCATGCATGCGTTTTGAGGCAGCATCTGGTATTTAATCCCACCCTTTATTGTTTGCCTGTATTTGTATGCAAAGAGATCCCACTGTATATAGCTATTTCAGCCATCATGACCATGTAAAAATTTCTCATTGCCCATTTTAGCTACATAGTTTTAATTGCATCAAATCCAGCCAACTAATGCAGACTGCTGGCTTGTTGGTATAATGGCAGGGCAAAAAGGAATTAGATAGAGATGGTGAGCAGAAAATCCTTGTTCTTGAGTTATGTGAACGAATGTATTCCACGTGTTCTCAGAGTCATT